AAGAAAGAAAGAAAGAAAGAAAGAAAGAAAGAAAGAAAGAGATAAAGAGAAAGAGAGAAAGAGAGAAAGAGAGGGAGAGAGAGAGAGAGAGGGAGAGAGAAAGAAAGAAAGAAAGAAAGAAAGAAAGAAAGAAAGAAAGAAAGAAAGAAAGAAAGAAAGAAAGAGAAAGAAAGAAAGGAAGGAAGGGAAATAAAGAAAGAAAGAAAGGAAGGAAGGGAAAAGAAAGAAAGAAGAAAGAAAGAAAGAAAGAAAGAAAGAAAGAAAGAAAGAAAGAAAGAAAGAAGAAAGAAAGAAAGAAAGAAAATCATAGTTTTGTATGGAATTTATTAAATGTAAGGTAAGTGGTTGGGGAATGATAAGAGGATCTTGAGGTATCAGGGTTTCAGAACACAGCTTTGGCAGCAGGAACGGCATCCTTGAATTGTCCGGCCTCAAAGCGTAGCTGCTCTCCATGAAGCATCCGCATTTTCACCACCGTCACATACTCTGTCACACTTTCTGCTAGACAGCTAGCAATTATATTCTAGAATCATTTTGTTTCTAATTTTCTAAGATGATTCACATGATAAAAAGTTTCTGAAAGAGGTAATAACCTAGTCAAATGTTATGGAAGCTTACAAAGGTTGTAAGGGCAATTAAATGGCACATTACTCAAGCACATGTAGAAAATAAAAAAGCCTCATGCACACGACATGCAGAAAATGCGATCATCAACTGTTTCTTTCTCTAGCAGGTAAGTGACAGCTTGTTTCAATTTCATTCACACCACTAAAAAGTTTAGATTTTATGATTCAAAGCAAAAGTATCAGAATAACAAAGAACTTGACAGAAATTCAAATTATCAGATTCTAATTATTTACTTAGTTGTAAGTTGTTAACAAATAACCATTAAGGAAAATGAGCTAATCTGTTATTCTGAGAATTATAATTCAAATTTACCCTGTGTATACCCGCAGATGTATGCACATGTATTTAGGCATGTATATGTTCCAACTCATCCACAGAAGAATGTAGTATCAGTGAAAATATACAAAAATGTAGTTAAACACAATGCATATACAGACTACAATATTTGTTCAGCCACACAGTACAGAATATAACATAAAATATAAATGAATATATATTGTTTATAGCTACATGTACTATGTCACATATGCATGACTTTTTACACAAAATATAACACACTTAGTTACATATACACATATATAGTTGTAATACAAACATTACATGAAGAGGAAACAGGGCTTATTTCTAGTTAAAACAAGAGTAAAATGCATATATCAATATGCTAAAATAGGTTTGTAATCTCTAGATAAAAGTAATTACTGAAATTTTTAGTTAATATTTGCCTCATCCTCTAGATTGTAGACTGTTTTGCTTTTCACCATGAGTCCCAGCATCTATAATGCTTTGGGGACAAGGAAGACGTGTAATAAATTCTTGTTGAATTAGGGAAGGCAAATTAGACTATGCCTTTGACCAAAAGAATCCTATTTGTCAAGTAGAATATGCAAGTATATAAAATAAACAAGTATATTTTTGTTCTTGGCCAGGAAATCACTTCATAGCATGGTTCGTGGGAAGATTTTAAAGCCTAATCTAATGCCACATCCTGAAACACATGGTAAACAGCTGTGAACATCTTGCTAGCAAATTCAGTGATGTTTTATGAGACAGCCTTTTTTGTTTTCTCATGAGGCAAAACTAGATTCAGCCCAATGGTTTACAAAGGTGAAAATAAAAAAAATTTAAAAAGCAGGGAAATTATCTAACAGATCTGGCACCTCGCAAGAGGATTCAAGTCAGCAGATTCAGGGTGAGGCTGAGCAGGTGTCTTGAAGCCACATTAGGTAACTGTGATGCAAATCCTCTTTAGAAGAAACTTAGTCATTAAAGTTTTCTTGAGCCTCCATGTAAATCCAACATTTATTTGGGAAAAAAATAAAACAAATAACAATTATTTACCTAAAAGCATGTACTGGGAAACCTTAGTACACTTGTGAATAGTTTGAGTAACAACCACAGTTTGTACCCAAATTATTTATAAAGTAAATAATTAAAGGGGAAACTTGCATTGAAATAATAACTATAAAAATTAGAATTAAACTGGAATATATTAAAAACCTTATTTAACATTTGTTTTGAAATTAGTGTAAATCTGCAGTAATTGTTTTATGTTTTCAAAATTACCAAAACATTTACCCAGTATTTCCGTATGTGAGGAAATTATCCTCACATGCAAAGGAGTAATTTAAAATGTACTACAGAATTGAATGCAATAATTTAATGGCAACTTTTTAAAAAAAAAATCTAAAAGGTAGAAATATGAGATACAAACATCTGGATGCTCCAAATTCATGTGAAAAGACAGTGTTATGTATGATTAGGTGCTCTAAAAGTGATTTTGAAAATAGAGCAGTAAAAGAATTCATACAAAAGGTATAAAGCAAAAATAGACAGAAGGAACTGCTACATAAAAATATTTTCAGAGCATATCAGAATTAGCCAGCCAGCCCAGCTTTCTAAAAGTGGGGTGGTGTGATGGATAAGATTGTTAAACAAATTGAAGAAAATGTTCTTGCAATAAAATTTTAATTTCTGTTTTTCTTTCTCATTATTGTTTTCTACATGCATAATACATTCTGCAGCTATTAGATTTAATTATAGGGGTTATACTTGAAGAAATTGAAATAACAAATGAAGAAAATAAAGGTAATATCTAAACCGCTTCCTTTCAATCTTTGAAACAATATGTAATTGGATCCCTACAATTAGAAATTTACCCCAAACACTGCCACGCGGTAGTCCACAATAGCAAGTAACCGTGAGTGCTAATATGACCCAGGAATTAAAGCTCCACTGATTCAGAAAAATAGAACATGTTTTAATCACACATGGGAAAAATAATTTGAAAGTAGAAGGGGATTTATTAGGGAAAGGGAGGGTGGCAGTGGGGAGGGAGGAGAGAGGAGATTCATGGAGAGAGGAAAGTAAGAGAGGGTGAAGGAGAGCTGGACATAAGGCATGATGCAGGCAATGCCACAGGGGAACCTACACATTTGTGTAATTAATATGCATTAATCCTAACTGTTTAAAACATTTGAACAAGAATCAGCACCTAGTAAGCACTCTGAATATTTAATAAAAGCTCTACATTAGATTTTTTTTAAGTACCACAAATAAAATCCAAGTCACACAATTGTAAGCTGCCAAAACTATAGTGTGGTGTGCTGCTTTTTTCATCTGTCCATTGACATCAGTGTCAGAGATGCTAGGTATTAAAATTCTTTAAATTTATTATGACCAAACATGGTAAAATTTAGTATTTGTCTTGGTTATCTTTCTCCCATTGCTGAGACAAAATACTTGACTCAAAATTAAGGAAATAGAAGCTTATGCAGCTCCCAGATTGCGACAGTTTTGATCTATAATCAGCTGACTCCATGGTAAGGCGACACAGCACAGAGGCAGTAGTGCAAGACAGCAGAAGACAGCAAAAACAGGAACATCAAGTGACAGGGGTGAGCAAGTTTATAAGCAGGATACCCACCCTTGGGTGAGTACAGCATTCACACTATCTCTGTGACCTCCTCTTGCACAGGCTCAGATGTTTGCAAAGTGATGACCCTGGACCCCTGCTGAATCATTCATTTAAGATTCTAAACTTCTCAGTTCTCAAGTAGACTCGATGAATCAACCAGTACAATACACCCTTTTTCAATCTGGCAACCAGACACATTTTTTTAAATTGGTCTCCAGATACAATGACATACTTATTCTTACTGTTTTACAACTTGGACATAATAACACAGGTTGACAATTTTGAAGAGCCAGTATTGTCTATCAACATTATATTATGTTAGAATCAAAACATTCTGCTCTCAAACCCACAAAGGCACAGGCATATAACCCTTTATGCAAAAGGCATGTAGTCCATATCTAAGAGTTGCTGAAGTCCTGACAATCTCAGCATTGCAGAAAAGTTCAAATCTCTAGTCTCCTCCAAGATGTAAGCCAAACTCTTAGCTGCAAGCTCCTGCACAAATGAAAACTTATATACTTTCAACATTCAATGGCAGAGGATAAACATTTTCATTCCAAAAGTTACAAACAGGGCTGGTCTGATAACTCAGTGGACTAAAGCACCTGCTTAGGCAGAGTGCAGTGCTGGTATATTATGCCGGGCCAGCTCATGATGTGCACTGAGATGGTGATGGAGACTGGGCATGGCGACATGTGCCTGTAATTCCAGCATTTGGGAGGCTGAAAACAGGAGAATAACTATGAGTTCAATCTACACAGTGAGACACTGTAGACCCTGTCCTAAATACAAATCAAAAAAAAAATATTACAAATGGGGATACAACGGATTGGGACCAAAGCAAGTTCAAAATCCAGCAGGGCAAACATTAAGTCCTGTAGTTCTTTGTCCAGTGTCTGAAGCAACCTGTGGCAAACTGAGTGCCAA